GCATGCCTCCCATCTCACAAGCGTGCCTCCCATCCCACAAGCATGCCTCCCATCTCACACGCGTGGCTCTTCATGCGGTGCACCAGCTTCACAGCCTGCACGGTGCACTCCTCCGCCTTGGCTGCCACGTACAGCGCTGCCGGTGCTGCCAGGCGCGGATCCACCTCCGCGAACGACTTCCTGCTCGCAGGGGAGGTGAGACAAGGAAGAGGGGGAGTGGGGTGAGGATGGGGCAGGGACAGTCTTGAGTGCTGGCAGCGCTGCCAGGCGCGGGTCCACCTCTGCGAACGACTTCCTGCTCGCAGATGGGGAGAGAGGGGGGGGGGGGGGGGGGGGGGGGGAGTGGGGACGGGGGGTGGCATTGAGCAATGCTGCCGGTGCTGCCAGCCGTGGGTCCACCTCCGCGAACGACTTCCTGCTCGCAGCGGGGAAGAGGCAAAGGGAGTAGGAGTGCGCGGGAGGGGTGGGAGAGAGGGGTGTAATCAGTGCTGCTGCCGGCACTGCCAGGCGCGGATCCACCTCCGCAAATGACTTCCTGCGAGGAGGAAACAGTGGGGGAAGTGGGGATGGGGGGAAGGGTGGGGGTGAGTGCGCACCAGGGGGGCTGGGGCAGGCAGGGTTTTGAGCACTGAGGTAGATATAGGGTTTCGCAGGCAGGCAGGTGGGGTGAGGGTTACACGGGGGGATGGGGTGGAAGGAGAGGGATGGGAGGGGGAAGTGGCAGGGCAGGCCACAGCAAGACCTGGGTGCTGTTGCTGCTGGATGCATCTTCCACTTTTGACAACTCTCACAAGTGACACAAACATCCCATCCCCCCATCCCCCATCGCCCCATCGCCGCATCTCTCAGCGCGCAGGCTCATTGCTCACTTGACATAGACGCGGCGGAAGTAGGCGATGGCGGTGGCCACAACCCTGCCACGCACGAAGAGAAGGAGTGAGGTGGGGATGGGCGATCGAGTGGGCGCGAGAGGTGTGAGGGTGGGCGATGGGTGATGGTGACACCATGAGACAGTGGCGCACAGTCACCAACATTCTCCCCGGTCGACTGGCACACGGCACGGTGAACGCAGCAACGATGCAGTGGAAATGTGAGCGATACGGTGCAAGGCGGTGCCAGGCGGTGAGAGGCGGTGCGCTTGCCTCTGGCGGAGGTTGAGGCGGTGAGCCAAGACTGCCAGGTCTGTCAATGAGAGATGAACAGACGAACGGGGGAACGGGACGGGGGGGAAGGGACGTGAGAGGAAGCATTGAACGAATGAGGGAATGAGGCACAGGGGGCGTAGGATTAACAAACGCACAATCGTAAACGCATACAAGCACTAGGCAGTTACTGACGTACGTACGGTCACACATGTGCAGCTTGACCAGGCGCACGTCAGAGGGCGAGAGGCCCATGCGGTCGTCCTCCGCATGCAGCAAGCGCGCCACTGCGCCTGGGTCCAGTAGCTGCTTGCTGTGTGGGGGAAGAAGGGGGAGGGGGAAGGGGAATGGGGGACAGGGAGGGGAGAATGCGAATGAGCAGCCGCGCCACTGCTCCCGGGGCCAATATTTGAGTCGACTCAAAAATCGACTTATCACACACTGCTCCCGGGTCCAATAGCCGCTTGCGGGGGGGATGGTGGGGGGAGGGGAAGGGGAAGGAGAAGGGGAAGGGGAAGGGGGGGGAAGGGAGGCGGGGGCGATTGAGCAACCGCGCCACTGCACGGCGCAGTGGTGGTGCGCAACACAGCAAGCTACTATAGTGGCTATAGTAGTTTGTTGTTGGGAGAGAGGGGGGGTGAGGGCGAGGGAGGTGCGGGGTTGGAGGGACAAGCGTGGGGCGAGAAGGAGGAAGAGGTGGGGAGAGGGGCAAAGAGTTGCGTGGGGAGGAAAACGGGGAAAGCGTGAGGGGAAACGGGGAAACGGGGGCGAAGGAAGGGTCGCGGAAAGGAGCAGGGGAGCCAGCAGCGCAGGCTGCAGCAGGCGCGTGCAATTGACGGTGGGTGGGGGGTGGGGAGGAGAAAAGGGGGTGCGGAGAGAGAGGAAAGAGGGAGAGGGAAAGAGGGAGAGGGAAAGAGGGAGAGGGAAAGAGGGAGAGGGAAAGAGGGAGAGGGAAAGAGGGAGAGGGAAAGAGGGAGAGGGAAAGAGGGAGAGGGAAAGAGGGAGCGGGAAAGAGGGAGAGGGACAGAGGGAGCGGGAAAGAGGGAGAGGGAAAAGAGGGAGAGGGAAAGAGGGAGAGGGAAAGAGGGAGAGGGAAAGAGGGAGCGGGAAAGAGGGAGAGGGAAAAGAGGGAGAGGGAAAGAGGGAGAGGGAAAGAGGGAGAGGGAAAGAGGGAGAGGGAAAGAGGGAGAGGGAAGGAGGGAGAAGGAAGAGAGACAGGAAGGGAGATGACTATCCGATTTTTGAGGCGCCTCAAAGAGAGGGAAGAGAGACAGGAAGGGAGATGACTATCTGAAGGCGTGCTGCGGCAGCGCACGGACGTCGCACCTGTGAGAGGACTGCCAGAAATTGGCCGCCATAAGAACCACTGACGACTGCTGGCGATTGTTGACGACTGTTTGCGACTGCAACAATTGTTGGCGACTGAGGTGATTGTTGCGACTGTTGGCGAGTCCCAAACTACAGCCGTCGGGTGCCGAATCGCCGTTACTCGGCGCAACTCCGTGGGGTTTTAACAGCTAAATGGCTCCACCATAGTAACTACGAGTCTGACAGCGCATTGCCTGGCGTTTCGGGGTTTCCATGACCTTCGTTTTTAGCCAGAGCATTAATCCCACCGTGCCTCGACAAGTGCAGCTGCCCCGCTCGCTCGATTTCAGTTTTGCGAAACGAAGCCCACAACAGCATGTAGAGATCGGTTATTTTCTGGTAACGTTTAGCTCATTTTCGCCAATGCGACTGTCGTTTCGCAGGGTTCGATATGCTTCCACTTTGAGAGGTTCGGAAACTCAAGAGGGCGACCGCAATCTGAAGTCTCACGAAACAGCGAACCATTTTCCGGTTCGGCAAGAATCTGGCGGGTTCAAATCCCTCACCCGTTACGCAAACCACCCGGCGAAACAGGTGAGCGATCTAAGCGAAGTAGACGATAACCCTAACCCTGTCTGCTGTATTTGAGCGGGAACTCCTTGTTTCTGCACCTCGTTGCTCCCCACGCTATGATTACGTTACGACTCAATTATTGGGAATCTCCATTGCCCGAGCACAGGCAGGACTCACGCTGTCACTTCTCCATCGATTCTGAAACTTCACAAGTATAGCAAATACTACCATTTCAAGCAACGCATTTCCTCCGACACGGTTCTAGCGGGTCCGCTCCGAGCGCCGGTATCCTCCGCCACCGCGTGCAACCTTTCCGCCTCCCGTCTCCGCGCAGGCTTTCTCTGTCGCTAGTTCCTCTCCGCGTATTTTCCCCGCCGCAGTCTTCTCTCCCCCGTTTCCCCCTTGCGCGCGCTAGCAGAGCCATGCCGGGGAAGGACGTCGACGTGCCCGCGGCGGAGCCGATGGAAACGAGCAGCGCGGGCGCGGGGAGCGGCGCGCAGGAGGCGCGGAAGGGGAAGAAGAAGAAGAAGGCGCAGCAGGGGGAAGGGGGGAGCGGAAGCCTTCCGCCGCACCTGGAGGAGCTGCGCTCGCGCGTGATCTGCGACATGGACGCGCCGAAACAGGTGCGCGGCGGGGGGGGGATGGGAGGGGTCGAGGGCGGAAGAGTTGCGCGGAAGATGCAGTGGTTGCGCGTAAGAGGAAGAGAAGCGCGCGTGAGGCAGAACGACCGTTGGGAAGGGCGTTGGCGAGAAACGGGAAAAGGGCTTGGCAAGATCGAGGGTTTAGACGGTTAAAAGGTTTAGACGGATTGGAAGAGGTTCACAGGTTATTGGTATTTCTAGGCAAAATTGAGGGTTCCCGAGCAGATTCCAAGGGTTCAGGGTTTGTGCCCTGGGTCAGGGTTCCGGGTTTAAGTTTCTGGCAAGTGGTTAGGGTCCTGGCACATCGGCGAGCAGATATGGCGCAGAGGGATGGCTGCAGAGCCACGGCTAGGGTGTGGCACTGTGGATGCCACGTGCGGTGCAGGCGAGATGGCACTGTGGATGCCACGTGGGGTGCAGGCGAGATGGCACTGTGGATGCCACGTGGGGTGCAGGCGAGATGGCACTGTGGATGCTGGTGCTGATGCTGGCCCCTCCTTTCCCCCCCTCCCATTTCCGCCTCCCCTTTCCGCCTCCCTTTTTCCGCCTCCCCTTTCATGACCCTCCGTCCCGCTCCGCCTTTCCTCTTCCTCCTTTCGTCTTCCTGTTTCTCCGTCTCCACCTTTCTCCCTTCCCCTTACTCGTCAGCTCTTCCCGCTCCCCCTTTTGCACGACAGCACAGCGCTTGTTGACTTTTGAGTTTTAATCAAGCGTGTTTACTTCGCTGATGGACGCGACAGCACAGCGCTTGTTGACTTTTGAGTCGAGTCAAAAGTCAGCAGGCTGCAACGGTTCAGATGGGTGTGGAAAGGCGAATGCACTTCCCGTCTCCTCCACCCTAACTCTCCCCATTCAACCTCCCGTTCGCCCCCAACACAAGCCCACGCTCTGCAGTATTTAGGTGTGTTCGCTCCCCTGGGAGTGGAGTGGACAACAGCATCAGCCTGGAGGCTGCACGCTGACGGTTAATCCGCTTTGCTTCTCCTTCCCCTCTTTCTTCCCCCACCCCCCCACACTCTCCGTTCCCCCCGCCACCTTTTCCTCCTTCCCCCAGTGAATCCGCGTGTTGCAATATTCCGGAGTGTTTGACGCGCCGGGGGTGGACAACAGTATGACTGCGTGACCCTGCAGGCTGCAGCGACGCAAAGTGGGGCGTTTCCCCTATTCCAGCCCCATTCCTTACCACCTTCTTCCCCCATTCCAGCCCCATTCCTTACCACCTTCTTCCCCCATTCCAGCCCCATTCCTTACCACCTTCTTCCCCCATTCCAGCCCCATTCCTTACCACCTTCTTCCCCCATTCCAGCCCCATTCCTTACCACCTTCTTCCCCCATTCCAGCCCCATTCCTTACCACCTTCTTCCCCCATTCCAGCCCCATTCCTTACCACCTTCTTCCCCCATTCCAGCCCATTCCTTACCACCTTCTTCCCCCCTTCGCCCCCTCTCCCTCCCCACTGCTGCAGACCCACGCGCTGCAGTATTCGGGCGCCTTCGCCGCGCTGGGAGTGGACAACAGCATGACTCTGGAGCGGTTCAAGCGGGAACAGCACCACCTTCCCTTCCCCCCCTTCCTTCCCCATTCCCCCCCCCATCATCCCCCCCTCACCGATGCAGACCCACGCGCTGCAGTATTCGGGTGCCTTCGCCGCATTGGGCGTGGACAACAGCATGACTCTGGAGCGCTTCAGGCGGGAACTGACGGTGGAGATCGTGTCGCAGTCAGCGGACGGCCACGATCTCGTCTTCGACCTCGTCGGCATCGACGCTGCTCTCGCCAACGCCTTCCGCCGGATACTCATCGCTGAGGTCAGCACGCTCGTTGCTGAGGTCAGCACGCTCGTTGCTGAGGTCAGCATGCTCATTGCTGAGGTCAGCACTCTCGTTGCTGAGGTCAGCATGCGCGTTGCTGAGGTCAGCATGCGCGTTGCTGAGGTCAGCACGCTGATCGCTGATCGTTGTGTGGTGCTCGTCCCATCCCACCCCCTCCCTTTCCTCCCCCACTTACCCCTCCCCCCCGCAGGTACCAACGATGGCGATAGAGAAGGTGTTCACGGCCAACAACACCTCGCTGGTGCAGGACGAGGTGCTCTGCTCTCGCACCTTCATGCCATCTTTTCACCCTCGTTCTTCCTCTCTCCTCGCCCTCCTCTCCCCCCCACAGGTACCAACGATGGCGATAGAGAAGGTGTTGATGGCGAACAACACCTCCCTGGTGCAGGACGAGGTGCTCTCGCACCGCCTTGGCCTCGTGCCCATCGCTGTCGACCCCCGCCTCTTCGACTTCCCCTCAGGTGATCCCCAGGTGGCCACTCAGGTGATCCCCAGGTGGCCACTCAGGTGATCCCCAGGTGGCCACTCAGGTGATTCTCAGGTGGACGATAAGGTGATTCCCAGGTGGAGTTTAAGTTGATCCTCGGGTGCTGTGAAGTCGGTGTGCTGCGCTTCCGGAAAACGTTACTCAGTGAAGCCTTTGAAGTCTCTTTCTGCTGCCCATGCTGCTTGCGATTGTGCTTCGCTTCTTGCTCCATGCGGTTGGCTTGGCTCCATGTACTTTGTCCCAACGCAGCATGATTCCGCTCTCCTCTTTGTCATCTCCTCTGTATCTCCTCCCCATGGTCTTATTCCACCCTGCTTGCAACTTCTTCTCTCATCACATCACATCACACCATCGCATCGCATCATGTCACATCACATGGTGCCACATGGCATGGCATGTGGTGGCACAGAGGACGGCATGGCGAGTGAGAGCAACACCATTGTCTTCAAGCTCGACTACAAGTGCACGCGCAACCCGCCTGCTGACGGCTCCAGACACGGTACGAACTGCTCTGCCTGCCCTGCCTGCCCTGCACGGTATGCCACACACACGCACCCTTGCCACCCTTGCCCTGCCCTACCCCTCGCCCACGCCTACCCCTTGCCACCAAGTTCATTGCCTCCCATTGCTTTTCCAACGTCCCATTGTTCCCCTCCCTTCCCCCACCACATGCAGGCACGGTGCAGTCAAAGCATCTGGTGTGGCATCCCCACGGCAGCACCTATCCGACTTCCCTTGCTTGCCCAATCACCCTTTGTTCCCCTCCCCCCTTCCCCTCCTCCGCTACACCTCCCCCACCACATGCAGGCACGGTGCAATCAAAGCATCTAGCAACCCAACGGCAGCACGTACCCGCCCGACCGCCCCACCAAGTTCACCTCCTTCCATGCCCTGTCCAACCACGCTTTGTTTCCCTTCCCCCTTCCCCTCCTCCCCTCCATCCATCTCACTCACCCCCAGGCACGGTGCAATCAAAGCAATCTGGTACGGCAACCCAACGGCAGCACCTACCCCCCCGACCGCCCCACCAAGTTCACCTCCTTCGGCCGCCTTACCCCTCTTGTTCCTCCCCCCTTCCCTTGCATTTTTCTCCCCTCGCCCGGCCAGGCACGGTGCAATCAAAGCATCTGCTGTGGCAGCCCAACGGCAGCACGTACCCGCCCGACCGCCCCACCAAGTTCACCTCCTTTGGTCGCCCGCAGAGCGAGCTGCATGACTTCGCCACTCGCCCCCCCGCCCCCACCTACCCTGACATCACGCTCGCACGCCTGCGACCCGGTCAGGTGTGTGTGATGTTCCGGAGTGATATTGCAACGTCTGTAGCAGACGAATTTTGCATTGCAGTCTAGTGTATGCGGCATGTGTGTGTGTGTGTGTGTGCGTGCGTGCGTGCGTGCGTGCGTGCGTGCGTGCGTGCGTGCGTGCGTGTGTCCCCCACCTACCTGACATCAACCTCGCTCGCCTACGACCCAGCCAGGTGTGTGGGAGTGCGAGCGACAGGTGTGTGGGAGTGCGAG